CCCCCTCGAACATAGACGCTCCCATGGCGTCTCCTTGGAGAGATGGACTCCCGTTTTCTTCGCCCTCTTGGCCCGTCTTGGGGTCCTCTTGCCTCTTGCCCGTCTTGGGCCCTGCCCTGCATGGGCCCTCTTGGGCCGTCTTGGCGCCCTCGTGCCTCTCTAATAAATCATGCGAGAACGCGCGGTAAATCACCGAAGCGCTTGGGAACGCCCGGGGGCGCCTGGGAGCGACCGGAATTCGGGGATGTGAGCCTCTTGAATTATACCAGCAAGATGAAATTCATAGAATTCGCAGGGACCTCAGGACTCCGTTTCGTGCCTCAATGCAAGGCGCATCTCCGTATCGAAGTGACGAGCGAAGAATTCATCGCGCTTCGCGTATCCCCACCGGCCCATCCAGTAACGGTTCTCAGGCGAGTTACGGTGATCTGGGGCGCGTGTGAGCAACCAGGGGGGGTAACCGTTATCGTTCGAAGGAATTGAGGGGGGGGGGGGGAAGAGGAGGAGGATAACGATGAGGAATAGGCGGACCAGGGGGAGGAGGGCGAGCAGAAGGGCCAGAGGCCTCTTCGACGCCTCTCGGCGTCTCTTGGGATATCTTTCGGGTGTTTCTTGGAGGCTCTCGTGGCGTCGTGGGGGTCTCTTGGCATTCCCAGAGACCTCTTGGGGCGTCTTGGGTGCCTCTGGGAGATTCCTGGGGGCCGCCCGGGGGCTCTTGGAAGCATCTTGGGGGCCTCTTGGGGTCTCTCGGGCGCCTCTCGGGGTCATCCGTGAGCCCTTTTGAGGGCCTATTGGGGCCATCTTGGCTCGGGGGATATCGATCGAGGAGGGTGGATCCTTAATTGGCGTCGCCCCTCTAGAGGCCCGAAGATCTTCTCTTGGGGCCCTTTTGCGGCGCACTTGGGGCGCTCTTGGGGCTGTCTTGGGGCGATATGGGGGCCCTCCTGGGGCCCTCTTGAGCCCTCTCAGGGCCATCTTGAGGCCTCGGAAGGCCATCGGAAGCGAACAGGCGAGACAGCTAAGTTCATCGATTTTCTTCAAATTGTTCTTCTTTGGTTTGGGCATCTTGGGAGCATCCTTGGGAGGCTCCGTGGCCACTTGGACCCATCTCGGAGCGGACTTGAGGGCTCTTGGAGCATGGTGTACACCACCATGAGCGATCTTGGAGTATCTCGGGTCATCTTGGAGGTCATCTTGGGCTCTCGGAGGCCTTTTGGAGCCATCTTGGACCATCTTGGACGCTCTGACCGCGCGCCCCCCATCCCGTTCAGGGGGAGGGTAGGGGTAAACCCCTCCCGAAGGGGAAGAATGGGGATTGGAAAATTGTCTCTCTAAACCGATCACGCCCTAAGAGGCCGGTGGGATGTTTCAGGTTCCCACCTGTGTGACACAGCCTTCGGGGTCCAACGAATCCCAATTCAAGGTTGGACTCGTGCCCGGCACTCGATCTGGCGACAGCAGCTCGGTGGGGTTCCTCGTGGGATCTCAATCTGTTCGCGGAGGGAGGCCCTCGGGGCAGGGCGCAGGCGCCCCCTCGCCCAAGGATGCGCAGGCCACTTCGTTGCGCTTGACAGGTCCGCGGGTCGCTGAGAAAATGCACTACTCAATGCCACATCTCCGCAGTCAAGTGAACAGGTGCCAGCAACAGAGGAAAAATGATCCAGTCGCCTTGCAAGCCAAGAGGCCCCAGACACCAATGTCATTTTAATCTCCCACCCCTTGGTCGAATGAGGTGTTGCCATTGGTCGCCGAAGACGCCTGCGGCGCGTCACCGCCGCCCCCTGCCCTTCAGGGAACGCCTATGTGGCCAAGCGGCGGGCTGAGTTTGACCAAGCTTTGGATTATGTTCCCCCGCAGCCGTTGGGGAAACCATTTCGGGAACGCGTGATGGAGGAGGAGGAGGAAGGAGATGGATGAGGAGGAGGAGGAGGGCGGCGGTGGGTGTGTGGGAGGGGGCGGGGACGAAGAGAAGAGCAGGGGGAGGAGGAGGAGGCCTCCTTGACGCCTGTTGCCCGCCTCCTGGGACTGTCTGGGGGCCATCGTGGGGCGCCTTGGACGCCATCGGGGGCTGTCTGGGGGCCATCCTGGGGGCCGTCGTGGGGGGCGTCCCGGACCATCATGGAGGCCATCTTGTGCCGTCTTGGGGCCCCCTCGGGCCGTCTTGGGGCCGCCGTGGATCGAATTAGTTTGGGGCGCCCTGCGGTTGGCGGAGGTGGTGGATCCTCGTGTGGTCCAGTGCACCTCGCAGGAGCCCATTGAGTTCGGGTGTCCGCGGGCGGCGCAAGTGGCGGATCCTTGTGTGGTCCAGAGCGCCACCCCGCGGCCGCCATGGCAGTTCGGGGCATCCTGCGGGTGGCGGAGGTGGTGGATCCTCGTGTGGTCCAGTGCGCCACCCCGCAGGAGCCCATTGAGTTCGGGGGTCCGCGGCGGGCGGCGCAAGTGGGGGGGCCCTCGCGTGGTCCAGAGCGCCACCCCGCGGGCGCCATCGGCTTAGACTTGCGAGTCTCATCCCCCCGGGGCTGTCTGACTGTCCTAACCTAACCTCCTCCTTCTCCCCTTCCTCCCCCTTCTGTTCCTCCTCGTGCTCCTCCTCCCTTATTCCCACAATTCCCTTCGTCCCTCGACTCCTCTCTGTCCTCCTCTCCCACCTTCTTCTCCCGCCTCCCTCCTCCGTCTCCGTCTTCTTTGCAGGAGGTCCTCGCGCCCGATTGCCAAGCGACAGTTCCGCGCCCTTCTTGTTTCTGTGGTCCACGTGTGTGTGCAGTGGCACGCGAGCTTCGAATAGTGGCGCTTCCCGTTCTTATCGGGCCAAGATGTTATTGGGTCTGGGCACGGGATCACACGCGTGGCATCTACTTTCAAAGCTTTCCCGTATCGAAAACGCCCACGGCAAACCACCGCCGCCCTCTGCCTTTTGACAACGTCACTGTGGCCAGACGGCGGGCCGGAGCTTGGCCAAGCCATTGGGCCATGTGCCCCCCCAGCCGTTGTGGAAACCCTTCGAGGAACACTTCGAGGAGGAAGAGGGGGGAGATCAGGGGTGGGGGGAGAACGAGGAGGAGGAGGAGGAGGAGGAGGAGGAGGAGGAGGTGCACACATTGCCACCCCCACGCCTGGAGGAACGTAGCTGTTAGGCAGACAATTTCCATGTCCTGAGCTGTTCTATAGAGTGAGCGCTGGTGCCGACGCGATTTTGGCTCAAGTTTGATTCGTGGAACTAGTTGCGCTCCTGGCCAACAAATCCTGCTACATGTTCAGGAGGCCTTTGGCGGGCTTCTTGGGGCCTCCTAGAGGCGTCTTGGTGGCCTCTTAAAGCCGTCTAGGACCGTCTTGGAGGCGTTTCCTGCCGTCATGGGACCATCCTAGGCCATCCTGGCCGTCTTGGAGGGCATCTGGGATCATCTTGGAGGCCATGTGAAACCATCCTGGCCGTCGTGGAGGCCATCTTGGTCGTCTCTTGGGGGCCTTCGCGGCCGTCTTGAAGTGAAGCATGGGCCATGCTAGCCGTCTGAAAGGCTATATTTGACCCTCTTGGGGCCATCCTGGGACCCTTTGTGGGGCCCCTGAGGCCGTCTCGGGGCCATTTTGGGGGTCTTTTGGACCGTCTGGGGCCGTCGGAAGCCCGAAAGGGCGAGAACGCAGGAACCATTGAAACCAACGATACAAACACATGACATTGAGCCTCATGGGGGCCGCCTGGAGGTCCTCGTGGAACAAATTGGAACATTTCAGGTGCCTTCTAGACCGTCTTGGGGCCATCTTGGGCCGTCTTGGGTCCATCCTGGGCCATATTTGAGGCATCTTGGGGCCATCTTGGCCGCTCTTGGGGGCATCTTGCAAGTCTTGGAGCCGTCTTGGGACTTTGTTTGAGGTTGTCATCTCAGGCTATCTCGGCCGTATTGGAGGCCATGTTAGGCTTTCGTGAAAGGCACATTGGCTAGTTTGGCGGCGCCTTGGGATCGTGTTGGAGGCACTCTTGGGCCATCTTAGCCATCTTCGAGGCCATATAGGGCCGTCTTGAGGCCGTCTTGGGGCCCTCTTGGGCCGTCTTGGCGCCATATTGAAGGCGTTTTGGCCCGTCTGAGACTGTTGGAGTCTCAGAGAAATGCGAGAACTTGAAAAATCATTATGACAGGCGAAGTGTCCACCAATGAGTTCAGGCCTCCTGGGCGCATATTGGAAGCGTATTGGGCGGTTTGATGCGATCTCGAAGCGGTGTTGAGTCGTCTTCAGGTCATATTGGGCAGTGTTGGGTTCATCTTGGGCCGTCTTGGATAGTTCTTGGGGCCATCTCTGACTCCCTTGGTGCCGCCTCGGCCGCCCGGGAGACCAGAAGGTTGAACCGTTTTGGGTGCAATATTGGATCGCCCTTGAGGCCATCTTAGGCGTAAGCGGATTAAATCCACTTGGTTGTTGCAGTGCCTCCCGGTTGTAGTCCGCTTGGTTGTTGCAGTGCTTCCAAAGAAAAAGAGAGACCAACAGAGGAACCGACAAAGGAGGATAGCGAAACTGATTTTGGAACTCCTCATTTTTTAAAAACCATTTTAGAAAATGTGCATCCGATTTCGGCCCATACTCATGGGTCGTCTTCTAAGTCGTTGCCCCCATGAAATCCAAGAGCACGCCCGTCGGCAATGACATTGATGTATGTACGTATGTTAGAAGGTCTGGCCCATGCCGTCTTGGGGTCTCCTTGGCCGTCTTGGGGCGTCGGGGGGCCCGAAAAGCGAGAACGCCACAATCCTTCAAACAACTTTGGGCTGTCTGAATGCCATCTCGGGCGTCTTCGAGCGATTTTTCGGCGATCCGGGCCCCTCTTGGATCGTCTTGCTGACCTCTCAACGGACTTGTGGAAACGCCCGCGCCGTGCAGGGGCACGCTGGCGGATTGCATGGCCAGGTGCCCCCCCGCGTGCCACAGCCTCTGGCTCAACCTAGCCTGCGTCAGCCCAAGGTGGAACATAACGAACCTGCTGCAGCCAATCCAGTGCTCCGGGTGCCATGCCAGAGAAAGGGAAGAAGGTGCCGCAGGTTCTCGCGGCGGCCGGTGTTTCTGATGCCGTCGATGGGGGCGTGGCCACGTCCGATGTAAACAAAACGATTTTGACTGAGTTTTTCGACGCAGCGAAGACTGTGAAGAACTCGCCCGTCTTCAAGGACATCACCACGTCAGACCCCGTCGGGCTCAACGAGAAGGGCCGCAGCGCCATCCAAGCCCCATTCGACCCGAAGGTGTGCGCCTCCACAATGAAACTTGAAAAGAATTACATGTGCGGTGGAAACTTCTTTTGGATAGGCTTGGAAGGCCTGAGTTCCCTGGGCGTGCCCATCAACCCATCCGCTATCGATAAGCTCCAGAAGAAGTATTTCTCCAGGCCTGGGGTGTACCCCGACACTGTCGTCATCGCCATTCCCGATATGGCTTTCGAGCCCCTCGCACATCGTGCCGCTCTGCAATGCATTTCTCCAGATGAAATGAAGATCGCCTTCGTCATGGCCCTTGCCAAACGCATCAACGATGGCGCCGATGCGGAGAAGCTCAAAGCGTGGAAACACATGGGCCTGACTGTAAGCATGCACTTCAAAATCCTCCCTTCCCAGGATGAGGTCTACTTCGCCGTCTTGAATATGAGGCAGGAGGTCGTCGTGAAGTTTGAGACGCTCGCGCGCGCCGCCTACCAGTGGATCTTCGAGATTGTCGCATTCAGGCAGCGCATGATCAAGGAGCTGGGCGGCAAGGACAACGGCGAGAAGGAGAAGAGCATATCGCCCAAGGTTGTGACGGATCTGTTCAACAAGTACGCCGAGTCGGACGAGGGGTTAAAATCTGCTCAGTCCAATGAACAGGTCAACGAGGAGTTCGTGAGGTCCGCCATCGCCGTATACGAGAGGATACTGCGCATCTCTCAGGCCGCAGCGACGGTGTTGTGGTTCGAACACACGTATGGCATGAGTAGCCCCCTCGACTCCGTTTTCAAGCTGCATCGCATTGCCAAGCGGATCAGAACCGACGACGTCCCTTGGGTGTTCGCGCAGATGAGGGATATGCTGGAGTCGAAGCGCATGGGCCCGAAGGATTTCCCCGACACGGCCCTCGCGGGAACAGCTGCTGGTGGCGGGAGGGGACTCGTCGACCTGTACGTCCTCAAGAACGATATGCGCGTATTCCTCATCGGGTCTGAGGGCCAGCGGCTTGGGGTTGCAACGAGCAGTTTGACCGAGATGCAGCGCCTCTTCTCCACCTTCGAGATCTATCGTGAAAAGGTGCAGCCGTTCACTGGCGAGACTGGGTCCCTTGATCGATCTTACCAGACTGGGTGGTCTAAGTCGAGCTTGCGTTTCATGGGATTCGTGGAGGAGGTTGTTTTCGGCGAGGCCTACGACGGCTACCTGAAGACCGGGTGCAGGGCTAGCAAGAGCCCAGCAGACATTTTGGAGTATCCGACCCTCGATGCCCAGATGGACAGCATCGTGGCCATGGTTGCGCAGGAGAAGGAGGCGGCTCAGAAGGAGCATGCCGACAGCCTGCACGTGGCGCCTGCCACGTCGGGCAGTTGAGAGGCCGGTGGCCCTGGCGGCGGCGCGACCTCGATCGGCGACGAGCAGCCTCAGACGGGTCAGGGCGAATCGGACCGCGAGATCACTCGACTCGCGGTGGAGCCGGAGAGCCAGGCCGAGCTGAAACGCGCGCTCCAATCGAGCACCGCGGGCAAGATGCTTGGCACGGCGCACAAGAACTACGTCGTCGTGGTGTTCGACGTGATGTTTTGCGGCGAGAGCGACACTAAGCCGCGCGTCCGCATTCCTCCATGGCCAGCTTCTCGGGCTGAGAAGCTCGTTCAAGCCGCATTGGAATCGCGCTCCCTGTTAGCCGGCTACACGAGCACGCAATTAGCCCCAGGGGATTTCTTTCTCATTTGCGATGGTGGGGAGCACGGCAACTCGCACAATATCAAGAATTTGTTCAAGGACGAGAACGGAGCAAACTACAAGCGCCGCTCCGCATGCGTCAAAGTGATCAAGAGCGAGACAGGCATCACCGATCGCTATTCGGGTGCCAGGCGCGGGTGGGGAAGCATCGCACAGGACGAATACTTCTACGTGATTGCCCTCGACAAGATGAAGCTCCCGGTCCTCAAGCGCAAGCGCTTCGCCGGAACCAACAAGGGCAACGCGATTGCGGACGTGCCTGTCCTGGCCGCGGACGCTTGCTGGACATTGCCGCGGAGCAAGAAGTTCGAGGTCATCGACAAGTGCGTCATCCGCGTCGGCGGCAAGGAGGAGGACGACGATTCGTCCTCTTCGGACGAGCCCGTCGAGGATACCCCTAAGCATGCGTTTGCTTGCTCGCTATCCGGATCTCTGACTCCTGCCCTTGCCCTCGATCTCCGGATTTCTTATCCTCCTGTGCTCTTGTTTGCTCTTAGGGAGTCAGAATCTCCCAGTCGTAGTCCCACCCGTAATTGTACTTGTACTTTTGCCTGTCTGGCACGCGTTCAAACTCTGGCTGAGTTCCTGGCCCCAGCTCTCTCCTTTGGATTCGCCCGCGCTCTCCATCGTATCTGCAGGGCTTCGCTCTCTGCCGCGGGCCCGCCTGTCTGATTGACTGGATGGCTGATCGATTGGCTGGCTGACTGCCCCTGAAGGCGTTAGGAGCGAGGAGGGCCGCGATGGGGAATATGTTCACGAGGGGCAGGAAGAGGGGGGAGACTGGGGGCGTGACCCTCGGCAGCCTGGTCTCCACCGCCTCGTTGTCCCCGAAGGTGTAGCGGAGTTGCACTAACTGCGCTGTCCGAACGCACCATGTCACGGATCGTCGCCGTCGCCGTCGCCGTCGTCGTCGTCGAGCCCGGCACGTTGCCAGGAGAGCCCGGCGGAGAAGAAGCGTAAAGTCGACCCGAACTTCCCGACCACCGTCTTTCATCCTGAGATGCCCCCCACCTTGGTCGATGAGTTTGTCCACCCGTGCAACGTCAAGGGCGTCATCGATCTCGCGATGGGCCCCGGCACGTGGGCGAAAGTGGCTGTGGAGCGTTCCATCCCGTATTTCGGGGTCGCGTTGTCGTCCTTCCACAAGACCTCCATTTTTTCTCACCTGGAGGATCACACGCGCTCGTTGGCGCAGAACGAGGCTAGCTTTTTGCACCTGGGATGCCGCAACCCCGCCGCCAAGGCCAAGCCTGAGCCGAAGCCCAAGCCTAAGGCTAAGCCGAAGGCGAAGGCCGAGGCCAGCGCCCACTCTCCCGCGGCGAGCAGCGGCAGCGGCAGCGATCATGAGTGAAGGCCGCTGTCTTGCTTTGACTCAGAGCGCCTCTCCTGGAGCTTGGCTCTAGTTTTGATCGTAGTTTTGCCTGTCCCTTCGGCGTTGCCTTGATCGGATCATGTCTATACCCAGTACGTGCGTGCAGATGCAGTGACATCCCCGTCAAGGCCAGGCGAGACCCACGGTTTGTAAGAACAACGTTCCCCAGAGAGCTGGGCGCAAACGATCCCCGCGGTTTGCGCGAGCAGGTGCGGTGGCGAGGCTCTTGCCCCGTGCTGCAGTTTCCACCTGGGCGATGGCGATGGCGATCGCGAGAGGCGTCGCTTCGCCAATTTTGCTGCTCTGCAGCGCCTCAGGTGCGAGACGTCGCGGGCTCATGTTTCCTTTGCCTTCGTTGCCGCGCCGTGCTATGGAGTGCATGCGTGCGTGACCCCACTATGCTTTGATTGCGTCGCTACCACATCAAGTGTTAAGCACCGCAAGTTGCCCCTCCCTGCGGAGCCCAGTTGAGTGGCGATGTTGCGCACGACGTGAGAAGTAGGCAGGGGGGTTAGGCTGCCACCCGGGGGGATTGGGGGGGTGAGAGAGGCGGGGTGAGTTTGAAAGGAATGCGTATGTCCCACAAGGCTCAACCCGTGCTTTCATATGTTGCGTCGGGGTGCTCCTCGCCGACGAGGTCGTTCGGATCCGAACGCCTTGGCATGGATCCCAGAACGGGCGCTGCAAACGCAATTTCCGATTGTGGGTCCTAGTGTCCCGCTCAGCGAGGATCTAACCCCTTCCTCCTCGTAGTAGTCGTCGTGCTTCTCAGCTCCTCCTCCTCCTCCTCCTCCTTCTCCTCCTCCTGCTGTGGGCGCCGTCCTCAGGTGACTCTTTCCCTTCTCCTGTGCGCCCCCTCCTGTGCCCCCTCTACATGTTCTAAGCCGTTTTAAGTAATGTAGAACAGCGACGAACTGGTTCATGGCAGCGTCACTCCTCCTCTCCTCCCTCGACGCGGCCTCCCGCATCAGAGATCGACTGGCGCGAGCGGCCCGGCCGGTCATTTTCGCTATGTCACGACCCGGTGACGGGAGGAAGCGGGGGAGAACGGAGCGCAAATTCCCCGCTATTGCTCATTCCATTCAAACCGCCCTATCCTCCTCCCCTCGCACTTCTTACCCCCGCTTTTCTTTGTTCCTCCCTCGCGTTCGTTCCATGGCCATTTTGGGTCGGTTTTGGCGCTGCGACGCCTTGCGGCCAGGCCCTACATCGGCCATCGCCTCGCTGACGCGTTAACTTTAGTTTTCTGCATTGCAGTTCCCAGCGATGGAAGACTGTGACTGGGGCGACCTCGCCGAGGCCTCCCCCCACAGAGGCGCCAAGAAGCGGCCGTCCGCCGTTCCGCCATCATGCTCGAAGGGGCCAGCCGCCAAGCGACCGTCCGTCAAGAATTCGCACTGCCTTTCGACCACCGGCGACCAGGCTGCTGAGGAGGCTCCGACACCGCCACCACTCTGTTCACTGCCTAGTCGTACTGCAGAGCCCCACGCGGAGGTGGAGCGACGGCCCCGTGCAACCTGCGACTGACGCAATGTGCCCCAGTTACGTAGCCCTGTCCACGTTGTTCTTGCTATCGTCGTCGTCGCCCCCCTGCTGCTGCCCTCGCTCCGCCAATCCCCCCTTGCGGGGTGACAGGGGCGCATCGCGCTAGTTGTTGGCGCCCGCGGGCGCGCTCCTTCGAGGGTACCTTCAAGGGCGCTTCCTTGCAGATGCTCGATGACCTCAGCGGCGGCCCCCCGGTCAACGCCGCGAGCCTGACCTTCGACGACAGACGGCCCAACGCGGCAATCAGAGTGGGAAGCGATTGCGCCGGCTACTGCAGCGAGGTGCTGGCCCTCGAGCTGTGCAATATAAAGTGCGTTCTCGTTTTCGCGTGCGAGAAGGACCAGGCCGCGCGTCGCATGTGCTACCACTTGCACGGCACCGATGGCATTAAATATTACAAGGACGCGGCGCGCAGGACCCGCGCGAATGCCCCGAGAGTGCATCTCTACGTCTTCGGTCCGCCCTGCCAGGGCTTCAGCAAAGGAGGCGCCCAGGCTGGCGTCAACGATCCGCGTTCTCACGTCCTCCTGCACTGCTTAGAACCGAAGACGCCTGAGGCGGACCACTGCCGCCGCCCCCGTTCTTTCGGAAACGCCCATGTGGTCGAACCGTGGTGACCTATGTGTTGGACTGCGTGCCCCCCCCCTGATAGCCTTGATATTTAATGGGTTCCGCCAGCCGTGGCTGAGCGCCCGGAGGGCATTTTCAGGGGTGCTAGAGGAGGAGGAGGAGGCTGAGAAGGAGGAGACGGGGGAGGATGGCACGCTGCAGTGTGCCCACGGCACGATGGCGGATATATAAAATGCAGGAGGCCGAGAGCGTTCTTGTTCGAGGAGAGCGACGTACTTTTGGAGAAGAAGTACGCGTGGCTGATAAACAAGGTTCCCCAAGTAAAGCTCACGCGTTGTCATTATCATCACCCCTACCATCATGGCCGAGGCCGCCGCCGCTACCACCATGACTGTGCTTAAGCGCCTCCCCCGCAGAGGCTTATCGTGTTTCGGGGGTGGTGTCCTCTGGGCTCCTGGTCTGGGTCTCAATGGCCTCGCTCGTCTGGCGAGTGCTGGTTGGGTGCCTGTCAGCGTGCCACGGCCGCCACCTGTGCCGGTGGCAGTGCCCCTACCGCTGAGACTGCAACAACTGTTGCCCCATGCCCTGCCCCTACCATTCTCGCCGCCTTCTCAAGACGAGTTGGCAATGGCAGCCATTACCGATGCCGTCTAATGTTATCATATTGGTAGCTCCCAGAGGTCGTCGAGCTCATGCAGGGGTGGGGCTACGTGGTGTGGCGGTCCAAGGTCAACACCCGCAATCACGGGCTGCCACAAAATAGGTCTCGCTTGTACCTCGTCGGTGTCTTTGCCGAGGTGAAGGCCTGCGACTTCGTCTGGCCCGACCCCGTGGAGCCGGTCAGCCTCTCATCGTTGCTGGGCAATGACACGTCGGGCGTTTCCGCGCCGAAGAACAAGACAGTGGTCGACAACATCGAGTGGGGCCTCGGCGAGTTGCAGGCGCAGGGCGTGAACTCGGAGACGGCCTACTCGCTCGTCGACGTCCACGCTAGCAAGTCGCGACGCCAGGTGGTGACAGACGCATGTCCCTGCCCGACGCGCCATCGGTGCCTGCTGAATGGCTACTACCGCACGCGCCGGAAGAACATGCTGGACAAGGAGGATGGGGATGGGCGATTGAACTTGGTTCGTCTCGTCCGCCTCCTCCTCCTCCTCCTCCTACTCCTCCTCCTCTCCCTAGTTATAGTTGATATCGGTGTCATGCTCCTGATCTGCCTCTCCTCCTCCTCCTCCTCCTCCTCCCCTTGCCCCCCTTTCAACTGTTCTCCATTCTGCCTGCCCCGCCCTCTACCGCCTTGTCACCCTCCTGCCTATTCTGGAACGTCGTCTTTCGTTTTCCCTCTTCGAGATCCCCCTTAAGATAACCCTCGTCATTTATCCTCGGCGTCCTCGTCCTCTACCGACTCGTGAGTCCCACCTGCTTTGAGGAGCTCATGGCGCTCCAAGGTTTCCCAGTCGGTAGGGTTAACTTCGACGAGCTCGCAGCAAAGTACAATGTGCAGGTCAAGGATGTTCTCGGTGCGCTTGGCCATTCTATGAGCATCAATGTATTGATGAGGCTGCTTCCCCGTTTGTGAAGAGTGGCGGGCTATGCAGGCGGATCAAGCCCACACAGTACGACAAATTGCCCTCGGCCGGCAGCACTGGAGTCGGGTGATGTTCTGAGTCTGGCCAATTTTGACAGGTAGGGTGCAGGGTGCTGGGGTTGCCAGCAGCTCGAGGCAGCAAGTAGCTCGCGTTTTACTCCACGGAGACGTGCAATACAACGGATCGTTGCCTCTGCCGCGCAAGTTTCATAAAATTCTCCAGTGCGATCGGTGGGCTGATGGATTTAGTTTTGTTTTGGCCGCACCTCGCTTGGGCTGACACCCCTTCCACGAATTCCGAACCCACGAGTAAAACAGGCGGGGCAAGTGTTTCTCGAACCACTCTGGCGCGCCCCCAAATAGGGAATGACCCCTTTGGCACGGCGCGGTGTAGTGCGGCATACCGTAGAATTGCAAAGCACATAAGAACGTGTGGTCATATCCGACAACATACTTATTTGTATGACGGAATCCATGTATGGACGTATGTTTGCATGTGGATGTGTTGGTGCATGTGTGTTGTTGTACACCAGCATGGCCATGTGCGCATGCAACTGTATGTCGGCGCACATGTAAGTTTATTGCTACGCGCGCGCACTCCCGTATGCATGCGTTGCTATACGCAGACACCATGTGTACACGCCGTGGCTTGCATCATATACCATGTTGTATTTCGCATACGTTCTATGTGCATGACATACACCGTGTAGAAGCACAATCGAGTATTATGTACGCCAGCATGTGCATCCCCGCGTGACCAATGCACACAGAAACGCACGATGCGCATGTACATATTTGCGTGCGCCACCTGGTCGCACATCGCTTGTATGCCTGTCACGCAATACATGTTGTTGGACATGCGTTGCATACATATACGATGCATGTGTGTGAATTATACTGCATACACCAGTGAACCGTCGTACATATCATGTGTGTTTTGACTTATGGAAACACGCGTGTGTGCGTGTGTGTGTGTGTGTGTGTGTGTGTGTGTGTGTGTGTGTGTGTGTGTGTGTGTTTAGATATTTGTCAACCACGGTGCGACCGCGCGTAAACGTGCGCTTCGGCGGGAGGGCGGTGGAGGAAGAGGGTGATGCCCTCGACCGCCACTGGGGGCCCAGAGGGGGGGGGAGGGAGAGAGGGACCGACGAAAAAGAAAAAAACGGATCAACAACACAGGCAAGCCGGGAGCGCCCGGGCGGGTTTGGCCAGCCGCCGCCAGCCGCCGCCGCCGCCGCCAGCCTGCACCTCGCGCCGCGGCGCCAGGCCCGTCGCC